AAAAAAATTTCAAAAAATATTCCATTGATAATTTTTTATTGGGAAAATTGACATTTTTATATTGGGGTTTTCTTATACAAAGTCTCAGAGTGTATCTTCATGCGTTCAAGTTGTTTGTGGATTCTCCAAAAGTATTTTAAAGTTTTCCTGACAAAGTTCCTGCATTTATTTTTTATGTTGTTCCTAGATGTTTTATTATTTTTGTTGCTATTTCAAATGAGACTTTTACTTTCGTTCTAACTTAAAACTGTTTGTTGCTCACCTATGTATGAAAGATAATGTTTCATTTAATAGTTTGTTTGTATTGTTATAACTCGCTGAATTTCTATTCTTCATAGTTGATTTTTAGTTTGTTTTCTTGGGCTTTCTAGATACACAATCACGTCCTCCACTGCACGGTCATTTTACTTTCCTCTTTCCCATTTTTACAGTGTTTTTTTTTTTTTTTTGGTGAGGAAGATTGGCCCTGAGCTAACATCCGTGCCCATCTTCCTCTACTTTATATGCAAGACGCTGCCACAGCATGGCTTGACAAGTGGTGGGCAGGTCCATACCTGGGATCTGAACCCACGAACCCCAGGCTGCCAAAGTGAAGCGTGTGAACTTAACCACTACGCCACCAGGCCGGCCCCCTACATTTTTTTTTTCTCTTATAAATTTGTACTAACTACTGTGGCCGGTATACCGTTAGGCAGTAATAGTTTTAGTAGGTATACTTTTTTTTTTTTTAAAGAGTAAATTTTATTTTATTTTATTTATTTATTTATTTTTTGTGAGGAAGATCAGCCCTGAGCTAACATCCATGCTAATCCTCCTCTTTTTGCTGAGGAAGACCGGCTCTGAGCTAACATCTATTGCCAATCCTCCTCCTTTTTTTTTTTTCCCCTTTTTCTCCCCAAAGCCCTAGTAGATAGTTGTATGTCATAGTTGCACATCCTTCTAGTTGCTGTATGTGGGATGTGGCCTCAGCATGGGCGGATAAGCGGTGCGTTGGTATGCGCCCGGAACCGAACCCGGGCCACCAGTCGCGGAGCGCACGCACTTAACTGCTAAGCCACAGGGCCAGACCCTAATAGGTACACTTTTACTTATTGTTCCTGAAATTTAGAACATCTGTCAACAGAATCCACCACATGCACAGATTGAAAGAGGAAAACTATATGATAATCTCAAAAGATGCTAAAAAAGCATTTGATAAAGAGCATCACAGGAGCACAGCACCAAAGCCTCTTAGCAAAGGACGAATCGACTGTTTCCTCAACCTTGTCAAGTCTGTTTCACAGAAACCCAAGTTAACGTCATCCTGAACTGTGAAACATCAGAAGTGTGACCGGGAGCTTGGCGATGAGTCAGGAATGCCCATTTTCATTTCCGCTGGGCCCCAGTGTGCTGGAGGTCATTGCCAACAATGAGATGAGAAGAAGAGAGATTTATGAAGATCAGAATGTGAGGAGAACTCAGAGGGTTAACCCCCGAATGTGTGATCATCTATGAGAAAAAACAAAGAAAATCAACTAGGAAGCCATTGAATCTAATACAAGATTTTAGCAAGATGGCTATATGGGAGATTTTTTTTCCAACACCAATACCCAACCAGGTATTTTACACAAGTAAAGATACGAGGTTTACATTAGCAAAAATAATTAAGTACCAAGGAACAAACCTCAGAAAGTGTGCATGACCACGATGGAGAAATCTATAAGACCTGAGTCAGCACGAGCTACAGTATCCTGGGTGTGACCACAACGTCACAAAATAAGTATGTAAATGTACCCCAAACACAAGTAAATTCCATGGTTGTTTATGAAAAGTAACAAGGCATTTTCATATTCGTATGGGTGGCTAACTGTGTAAGAATGCCAGACTCTTTTGAAAGAGACAACAGTCAGGGGCTTGACCACTGGACACCAGACTTGAGATCAGGGGAGACCGAGTGGCGCTGCGGGGACAGGCCGAGCAGGGAGCATCCAGACGCAGACCTGACACAGTAATGGGAGTCTAGTCTTCGTTACGTGGGCATTTCTCGTCAGAGAGAGCAATGCTCTGCAGTATGTACACACATGCACACACATGTGCACACATGTGCACACATGTGAGTATATAGAAGGCATATATCTGAAATAGGAACAAATCGTTCCACCTGGACGGGCTCACTTGCTGTGGGGAATGGCCCCCCCACCTCAGCGCTCACGACGACACATCACGTTTCTCAACTTATAAAACGTAGGAAAAGCAGGTCGTGTCTGCAATCCCTGGTTGGGACACAGGGATCAAGGTGGGCTAATGTTTGCATGACAAACAGGACTCAAAACAATGGGAATACCTAGGGAGACGGCAGTCTCACGGAGGGCTTTGGATACCCGGCAAGTGAGCACAGAAGAGGGAGGAGCGGGAATAGATGGGGCCATAGGCCCCGCAGAGCCCCTCAGACCCCCGCCCCTGCTGGGTCCTGCCCCATTCTCCCAGGGCAGCACCTTCATAAGGATGAGCACGAGTTAAAAATAAGAATAAATTCCAATTTCCCTGTTGAAAATAAGGGAAGAGACTTCCATCCCCTCCTGATCTTTGAGATTTTCCTCAGAGAACTTGTAAGAACTCTCTCCTCTCTGTGAAGTATGTATAAATCCTTTCCAAACTAGATAGGCCTTTTACCAGCCTTGTGACCCAGGCATGTCTTTCTGGAGACCCAGGAGCCAGCACTGAGATGTGAACATCGGGGGGACAGTGCCCCCGTCTCCCAGCCTCTGTTGGGGGGCAGAGCCTGCCTCAGTGGGCGCCTTGCTCCAAGCTGCTAAACGACCTCCTGTCGTCCCTAAGAGCATTTCGATTTTCCTCTGGATAAAGCCAGTGAGCTAACACACGGTCACCCCAGCTCCCAGTGAATCTGCGTTGGACTGTGTGTGACATTGGCGCATTGAGTCCTCTTACTGGAGAGCCAGTCACTGTCGATCTCGAGAGCATGTGTGCGGGTGGGTCATGTCTGCGTGGCTGTGGGAACAGGTGAGGTCTCTCTCTCTCTGTAGTCTCTGAGGACTACCTGTGAGGCGGGTCCCACCCTGGCTCAATGCTTATTCAAAACTGAAATTGTCGTCTTTCTCCACTCCCCTTGGTGGACAGGATTTCTGGGCTGGGAAAAGATTTTGTGTTTAATTGTACTTCCCCAGCACACTCCCCCTCAGAGCGTGGGGCTCCTTAATTCCCGTCCTCCTCCCTAAAGGACAACCCAGTACCCCTAAGCGTCAGAGGGCCTTTCTGGGACTCCCTGTGCAAGCCACACTGGCCCTCTCTGAGCCAGTCAGTCACACTTTAGTTAGAGCTGGAGACTGACTCTGCAGAGCCTAAAGCACCCGTGGGTGTGGTCCCTCTTGAGACGAAAGTCCAGAGGCCCGAGAATGAGCAGCGCACAGGTCTTGCGGCCGGTGTTCCATCCTGGCGCTGCTGGTGGGCTATCGAAACACAAGCCCTTTACCACTGTGCTCAGAGGCCCCCGGGGAACCTCAGGGGTCGCTCACACAGAAGGCTCAGAGTTCTGCTCAAACCACAACGGCCGAATCACCCACTGAGGAGGCCAGGAAAAGGCACGGGGCAGACTGAGCAGCAGCAGGAGCCTGGACATGGGTGTCCAGTGGCTCCAAGGAGGGGTACATGGGCATGGGCACGGGGGTGGCTCCAATGTGGGGTACAGGGGTGTGGGTGTAGGGTGGCTCCAATGTGGGGTACAGGGCACGGGCGCCAGCGTGAGCTCTGCAGTGGTGGGTTGACCACAGTAGGAAGCAGGGGGAGGTGTGGAGCTGCCAGAGCTTTGGAAACAGTGAGAAGTGACCGGACCCTGCAGGGCCTGCAGCTGTGTCGAGTTTGGGCCTCCATCTCCGTGAACGCTCAGCAGGCGTGCATGATTCCAGGTGTTTTTTCCTTAATTAAAGAAAGTGACGGAACTCCTCGAGTATTCAGAGAAGAGAGATGACGGAATGAACCCACTGGACTCGGCACTCCACGACCCTTGTGTCTCCCTTCCCCGGGCGTGGTTGGAGCATTCTAGACCAGATGCAGACACCTCTCCCGCCTCCTGTAATTAGAATAACAGGCAGCTCTGCTGGGCGGCATTTCAAACAAGGCCACATACCTCCGTCACACGTAGTCAATGTTCTGGACGGTTCTTAGTAACCGCTCCGCCCGTGTTCACGCTGAGGATCACGTTACACACGAGCGTGGCAGGCCAGTCCCCGCCTGGGTGGGCCTGGGGGGCCCTGATGAGCAGCATCCTTGAGACGTTCCCAGGTGATTCCGACGAACTATCCAGGTGAGACCCACTCCCTGAACGATGGGGACCCGAGACAGAGTCCCTTGTGTTTTATAGGGAAGAATAATGGGATCATATTTGCATTTGAACTCTCTTTCTGGCAGCTGAATGGGGGGGGAGGGAGATCAAGTAACATGGTCTTTCAACCATTTCGCCCATTAAACTAATATTTAGGGGGTCTAGAACTATGGAAATGTTATTGGGAATACAAAAGAGAAGGCGAATTTAGGAGATTATTTTGAGGTGAAAATGTCAAAGCCATTTCCACACACTGGACCCCAGGTTTTCCAGATGGCAGTGCTGCCGGGTTCCTGTGTCGAAATGGGCAGAGCTGTGGATCAGAGGGGCGTCGGGCTGTGGGGGAGAATCAAGTTCAGGCCGTCGGTGTCCAAGAGCCCGACCCAGGAAGTGTCCCGACGCTGGCGGCCAGCCTGGACCCGCACCCCAGACCCTTCCCTTCTGGGGCCCTACCAGGAATTGTCCAGGCCCCGGGGACAGAGGGGACCTTCCTGTTCTGACTCGGAGGGAAGAAGGCCTCCTATTGTCCCAGTTGAGGAAGGCACCGAGGGTCGAGGGTGAGTCACAGGGAGTCGGGGAACCGCATGGCAGGGGGCCCGGAGGGTGCTGGCTGGTGAGCCCTCTCCAGCCCTCTCCTATATAAGCCCCCGAGCCTGTACCTCAGCCTCCTCGCTCCGCCTCAGCCTCCTCAGTCTCCGGAGCTCGGAGTGCAACCGCAGCTGCGGCCATGAAGTGCCTCCTGCTTGCCCTGGGCGTGGCCCTCGTGTGTGGCACCCAGGCCACCAGCATCCCCCAGACCATGAAGGACCTGGACCTCCAGAAGGTTTGCAGATGGCTGGGGTGGGCGGTGAGCCGCGGGGCGGGCAGGGAAGCTGGGCCTCAGAAATTTGAAGGCACACAAATGGAGTCAGGGTGTTTGGGAACCCTTGGCCTTGCTCTCTATCTTCAGGGGGGCTTGTCACCTGGTTTCCCAGGATCCAGGTAGTCCTAGGTGGCTCAGGATTTGGACTTGAAATCCACCTGGGTTAACACAACAGGGTTATTTCCAGTGCGGGAAGCTCTGCAGCCCAGCGTCTGGCAGAGGGTCAGCCAGTGCTCAGTGACTCCTATCCTGTTAGACTCGGCCTGGCTGGGACAGGATGGGACGGAGAGCCCACTGTGGGACTGGGATCCCCTTCTTGTCCCCCGGAGTGCAGCTCGGGGTCCCCCCTCAGGTGGCAGGGACATGGCACTCCATGGCCATGGCAGCCGGCGACCTCCCCTCCTGGACTCCAAGAGCGCCCCTCTAAGAGTATACTTCAAGGAGCTGAGGCCCACCCCTGAGGACAACCCGGAGATCATCCTGCGAGAAGGGTGGGTGTGCCCCCTGGGCTGCGGGCCGGCCAGGGCCTGGCTCCAGGATGGGCGGGCTCCCAATGGGACCTGGCTGCGCTGTGGGTGGGCACGGTGCCCCAGGCATGAGGCTCAGGGATCGGAAGTTTCTGGTCCCCTAGGCACCCCTGCCAGGGCTCTGGACCAACAGGCTAACCACACAGAGCAGCTCCGGGTCAGCGTGGGGAGAGGCCTGCGTGGAGGCCGGCTGGTCAGCTGCAGGGTGGGGCCCTCAGGGCCTGGGCCGTTCCTGCTACGAGCCCTGTCTGCCCCCAGAGTGGGTGACCAGAGGGTCAAAGAATTCTAAGGGTGAGCCATGATGACATCCTTGGAAATGCTGTAACCAAGCCCCACATGGACCGGGTCAGTTTTGAGCTGTCACGAGCCCTCAGCCACCGGCCAGCTCACCTGCCTGTGGTGAGCTTCCTGGCTGGCCCCACCTGCCCCATTGTCAACCTGCCTGAGTCGCCTGCTCAGGGCCACGAGGGACGCTCAGCTTCAGGCCAGCGCCTCGTGTCCTTGCTACCGGCCAGCCCAGGGCCAGGCTGGGCTGAGTGTCCGTGTGTCCTGTGACACCTCCTGGACCCCAGCTCCTGCCCCCACAGGGGTTCATGAGTGACCCTCACCACTGTTGGGCTTTTCAAGGCCAACCAGGTCTGCGTTGAGAGGAACATCGTGGCCCAGAAGACTGAGGACCCAACTGTGTTCACGGTCGACTGTAAGTATCCCCACCCTGTGCCCACAGGGCCATCTGGCGCCCACCCTCGGGTGGCCCTGGGCAGGGCTGTGACCCCTCCTGATGCTGGGCCTTCTCTGAGCCGCTCTGAGTCGCTCAACGTCCTACAGCAGAAAGAGCCAGGCCGGAGTCTGTGGCCTCGTCGTGTGCACCAGGCCCTGTTTCTCCCACCCCTGCAGCTGCACGGGCACTCTCGGGGGTGATGAGGCCTGGGGACCCCCACTCCATCCAGGGCTTACCCCCCTGCCCGGCTCCCACACTCCCTGCTCGGCGTAGGAAGAGAGCAGGGCAGCCTCTTGTTTACTGCAACATCCGTACTGTCCACGCAGGTGTGGGTTAGTGCAGGTTCCAAGGACAGGCACCTGGCAATGTCCCTGCTCAGGGCCCGGCGGCCTGTGCCTCCTTAAAAGTATCCAAATAAACCAGGCCTGTGGGCAAACGCGCTGTGGATTTGCCTCTCAAACCTGGAACCTGCTTCTGGAATGTTCCAGGCCTCACCCACCTTGCCCCCAGTCCTTCTGTACCCCACCAGCACTGCCCCCTGGTCCTGGCGGCCTCCTGTCCGCCCTCAGCCTCATCTGGGACAGGCCCCTAGGCCTACCTCCTGACTCCACCTCTCACATCCGGGGCCCCTCTCCCACCTCAGCAGGGCCTCCCCCTCTTGTCTTGTCACATCCTCTTCCTCTGAGAGTGGTGAGTGTGGCGGGTACAATTTCATCCCCGGAACCGGCCCTGCCACGTCTGTGCCCAGCAACCCAGGGCAGCCGCTTAACCCAGCCCCCGCGCCTCCCATTCCTCACCTGGGCGCAGGCTCCCCTGCAGGACCACCGGTCCACCTGAGAAGGTGGCGGGAGTCTCTGAAGAGGTAGGGGGAGCTGCTTGTCCGCCCTGCCATCATCCTGCTCCAAACCCAGCCAGGCCTGTGGGCCCCGGAAGATAGGGGGTCTCCACCCGTTCCCCCTGGTTCCCCACCTCTGAAGAACGAGTCATCGCTACCCCACCTCTCAGATAATTCTCCATTTCTTCCTTCCACTCTTGGATGTCCACGTACAACCCCCGACTCCAGTGGGCCCCCATCCTGGACTAGCCTGTGATGCTCCTGGGACCTGGGCACCTGTCCTCTGGAGGGCGTCCTCTGGGACTTAGTGCCTGAGTGTGGACAAATGACCGAATGAATTAATGCTACGTCCAGGACACGAGGGAGTGGAGTCTGGCCAACCAGGCAGTAAATCTGAACAGGCTTCGTTGGAGGGCTGGCCGACACGTCAGAGGGACTGTTTACCCCCAGAGCCCTAGTGTGGGAGGGGCTGGTCTCGCCGGGCAGTGCCGCTCAGGGACACGCCCTGGGGTCCATAACACTTCTTGTGGGGTTGCCAGTCCTGGGCTGTCGGCGGAACCGTGGGAATGAACCTCGGGGAAGGAGAGGCCCCGGAGGAGGGGGCGTCCTCACAGTGTCGGGGAGGGTGCTCCACGCGGGCGGCCTGCTGTCCGGATGGAGGTCGGGGGGGACAGTGCTCAGACGAGATTCCAGGTCTCTGTTTCGGCCTCTTTTCCAGATCAGGGGGAGAGAACGGTTTCCGTCCTGGACACAGACTACACCCACTATATGTTCTTCTGCCTGGGGGCCCCCCTGCCCAGCGCTGAGCACAGCACCATGTGCCAGTACCTGGGTACGTAGCCGAGTCAGTGCGGGGGTGTCTGGGGGGGCCACTCCTCCACCGAGATGTGGTCCTTGGTCGTCTTTGAATATCGAGCATGTATGGCGCCCCCGGCCCCAGGCGGGAGGAAGCGGGGGCTGCCTTGCTGGCCTCTGCGGGTCACATTAGCGAAGTGGAGGTGGGACCGGTGGTGTTCCCATGTGGGTGACTTTGGGACGAGGGGCAGGGGCTGGTGTCGATGTCCCGGACAGGCTGAGAGGTTTACAGAGACGAAGGGTTTGTCGGGGGTGGAGAAGCCACACTTACCAATGGGTAGAACGGGTTATATTGATCCAACGATCTTATAGAAGGAGATTTTCAATGACTTCAAGAAAATTCAGATGTGAAAGCAACTTTAAAGGGTGATATTTTGACAGCAGTAAACATCTTGGTGATGCTGCTGTTGTTCTCGGGGGATCCCAGGGTCCGAGCTGACCGCGGCATTGGGCTGCGGAGGGCTCCTCGTCCATAAATCAGCCAGCCTGAATGGTGGAGGAGACCCCACAGCCCAGGGGCTGGGCCTTTTCCTCCCATGACCGGGCGACCTCCAGCGCTGCCCTGGGAGAAGGAGGGGGGACTGGACCCAGAGGGGAGGCAGGGACCTTGGGGGCAGGTGGACTGAGCCCTGGAGACCACCCTGGGAAGCTGGGCTGGACCAAGCTCTACCGACCTCAGCACATCGGCTCATCCTCCCACGCTCGCCTGTCAGGGCCCCTCAGTCCCCCTGAGGTCTCGTCAAACCCCACAGCCCAGGGACTGACCTCCTCACCCCCACAGCCAGGACCCTGAAGGTCGACGAGGAGGTCATGGAGAAATTCAACAGAGCCCTCAAGTCTCTGCCTGGGCACATCCAGATCATCCCGGACCAGACCCAGGGGCAGGGTGAGCTCTGGCCCATGGAGGCCCCTCAGTTTGAGGAGAAGCAGCAGCTGTCCCGGCTCTGAGTCCCCACCACTGGTTCTGTAGGAACCAGGACAGCATCTTTCTCCCACAGCAGCCCCCCATTCCCCCCAGACCCCCCAGGAGGCAGGTGGGTGGGCAGGAGGGGGTGCAGAGTCCCTGAGGTAGGGTCCTCCCCCAACCACACCCTGGGCCCGGGGCTGCCGTGTCTGACCTGCATCCCTTCCCCGCGGCTCTCCCTCCTCCCGCAGAGCGCTGCCGCGTCTAGGTGTGCTCCTGCCCGTCCGCCTCCTGGGGTAACGTACCGGCCGGGCCCCACGTCCCGGGCACATGCAGGGGGTCTCAGTGGGGCCAGACTCCCCTCCATTAGCCTGGGTGCCCCTGAGAGAATGGCTGGAACCAGGGTCTCTCCTGGTCATTTCAGAAGCCAGGCTGGCTGCGTGCCCGCTCTCCAATGGCCTTTCCGGGACATCGTCTCCTGTGTCCTGGCCACACTCACGCTGACGGCCCCACCGCTCTTTCTGGGTGAGGGGTGGGTGAAGGTAGAGGGCTGGGAAGGACAGGATGGGGTGACAGCCACTCAGCCTGAGGGGGGTGAGGCAGGGGCTCCCTCTTCCAAGGAGGGGTCATCCCGCACACCCAGTTGGGGAGGGGCTGGCGAGGGTCTGGCAGGTTCCCCAGGAATCCCAGGGGAGCCCCCCTCGTCCATTTCAGGGCCCAGGAGCGTCGGCCCCTCTGCAGAGAAGACGTTACCCCTCCCCCGTCAGAGGAATCAGGAGGGACTGAGACCAAGGTGGACGTCACTCCCCCTGGGACCTGTACACGTCGGGTCCCAGCCTCGATCTCCTGCCCTGAGCCACTCCTCTTTCAGCAGTAAAGAAATAAACCTGAGCTCTCTCTCTGAGTCCTCTGAAATAAACCTGAGTCCTTCCTGGGCGACGTGGGCGGGATGGAGCCGAGGGGTCAGCTCAGGGGATGAAGAGTGAGTCTGGGAGAGGTGCCGTCTGAGCTCCAGACCAACCCTGAGCTCAGAGTGGGGAGACAATCTGTTTATCCATTACTGTTGATCTCGTCTCTGTCATCTCAGGGCTACAGAAACCCTGTTTGCTGGTAGGGCAG